TCCACCAGGCCCCCAGACCCACTTCAGCTGCCAATGGCAAAGCAGAGCTGGTGGTGGGGTCCCTGACCAACCAGCACCCCTTCCCAGTGTCCCCCAGCCAGCCTCTGAACTCCATCTGTTCATCTTCACCCCACCCTCTAAGGATAGGTCTGCTCCTGCTCAAGAAATGGAAATGGCTCCCTAGTGCCCACGCCATCAAGTCTAACTACACAGTTGTCTTTCATGTGTGTCCGTGTAATGTCTGCAGCCAGCATCCTCTTTCCCTAGGCAACTTCGTGACTGTAAGACCCATTCCTCCCTCCAGGCCTTGTTCCTTGCTGTCCCCACACCTGGAATGTCGTCCTTCTGGCATCGCTCTGGAGCCCAGCTCAAGCGGACTTCAAGTGAGTCCTTGCTCAAAAAACCCATCCTGACCTTCTTCTCTGAGCTCCCAGGGCACCAAGTGCCACCACAGTCCAGCCCAAAGCTCTTAGTTTCATCCTTGGTACGTTTCCCTTTTCACCTACATCAGGGGCTTAACATACTACTGCCCAGGGGCCACATTTGGCTCAGCCACTGCCTGTTTTTCTGAGTGGAGTTTTAGTGGAACACTGTCACATCCCTTTGTTTCCGTGTTGCCTGCAGCTCTCTCATCCCACAGTGGCAGAACCAAGTACCTGCAGTGGAGACAGTATGGCTCCAAAGCCTCAAATATTTACTAGCTTTCACTTGCAGAAAAAGTTTGCTGACCCCCAGTCTAGACTGAAAATCCAGAAGGACTTTTCCCTTCAAAGGAAGGTTTGGGCACCTGTGTGCTTGAAAATTCCTGGTGATGATTTTTCTCTCAGTGGAAAACCCCCAGCCATGCCTGGTTCCTCTTTGCCCCCCCTCCAGACTTCGGCATCAGCTGGGAGGCAGGGGGACACCTGAGGGGCCTCATCCATCTTAACCCAGCCTAGAGCAGCTCCAAACTCCACCCCCCTTCCTGGGCCCAGCCACAGATCCCCTACCTTGTCCACAAAGCCCCTGTCCTGCCTGACTTCACAGTTCAGGTCGCAGTCCAGGGCTGTGTCTGCAAGGGATGGGCAGAGGGTAAGTCACGACAGGGTTCCCAGGAGCCCAGCACAGGCCCATGGCCTCCACCTTCTAACCTGTCTCAGGTCCCATCTGAGGCCAGGCAGACAAGTCATTTCAAAGAAGACACTGCCCAGAGGTGAGAGCATCTGGAGCCCCCCACCCTGGGCTAGGGGCGCAGGGGCCTTGGGGAGGAAGAAGGGTCAGAACAAAGGTCAGCTGCTGCCCCCTCCAGGAAGCATTCCCTGAACTCTCCTGCATTCCTACAGTCCTCACTGGGATGTGCCCTGTACGGAGCCCGGGTCACCCTGGGCTCCCTTGGTCTGTGTGAAGCTGCTTCATCTCCTTGGGATGGGGCAGTGAGCCTGGACTCTGGTGTCAGACAGTCGTGGATGTGAATTTGGGCTGGCACCTGCTGGCTGTGTGGCTTTTCTGAGCCTCAGCTTCTTCCCAATTCCCAGCCCCCTTCCCACCTTCTTAATCTTTCTCCCTAGAAATGTGGGGAGATTTTACACCACCAGTGAGACACTGAAGGGAGAGAGAAGACACCCAGCCCCCAGTATAGAGAGAATTTGAAATGATTTTTAATCGTGTGAAATGACACCCGATCACCATGCAACAGGGCATGAATCTCACAGACACAACACAGGGCAAAGGACGTGTGTGATATGGTTCCATCCACAGAGAATTCAAATATAGGCTAAAATAGACTGTATTATTTGGGTGTGACCACAAGTTAATGGTTACCTCTGTGGGAGGGAGGGGCTTATGATCAGAGAGGAGCTTGGGGGCAGGGTGTGCTTTGGGGTGCTTGTCACATTCCGTGTTCTGTTTCTTGACCTGAGTGATGGTTGCCCAAGTGTTTGCTTGGTATCTATTCATTAATGTGTGTGTATGCACACGTGCGCACGTGCACACACATACACACAAAATAAAGCTTTGTGCACGTTTCTGTATGTGTATTTTTTTTAATTAAAAAAATTTTAATTGAAGTACAGTCAGTTATAATGTGTCAATTTCTGGTGCACAGCCTAATGTTTCAGTCATACATGTACATACATATATTCCTTTTCATATTCTTTTTCATTACAGGTTATTACCAGATATGGAATTTAGTTCCCTGTGCTATACAGTAGAAATTTGCTTTTTCTGTATCTGTATTTTCCAATGAACAAGGATGTCTGTGTGTTCTGGGAGGGGGAGGCAGAGAGATACCCAGCCTCAATCCTAACAAAAGGAAAGCAAATTAAAGCAACAGTGAGAGTCTGTCCTCTCA